TAGTTTGGAGTTAGTTTCGTATAGTTTGGACTATAGTTTCGAAAGTGGAGTTTAATATTAAATAACCCAGCGAAATAAACAATTTATCTATTGATCCAGTTTTCTCAAATTATGTTAGTATTATCAAAAAAAGTTTCGATTCGAATTTATTCTAGAAATTCTGTTTCATTTTAATCTAGAAATTTTGTTTCTTTTTTTTTATTTCTGTTTCATTGCGCTCGTTAAGTCTTTTCCAACCGCTCGGTGGCTATGTTTTATATTGTGTGTAATTTTCTATGGCTTCCAGAGATAGAGGTATGTAAAAGACTTATTGCACAAGCGAGCGAGTGAGCATGGTCCTAACCATCACTGCAGCTGATGGCACTTTCGCTGTCATTGCATTGTCAATTAAATAGTATCTGTTGTATCTAATTTATGGATGGCTGCTGTTTGCCTACTGTTAGACGACTATGGCATATATTCAAGGAAGTGAGACTCTTGTTCTACTTGTTAAGTGTTCGTCTTTGGTACATGTCATTGCAAAATCCAAGCTTTGTCTAATGATGCGAAGCAATTTTTTCTTACCTAAGTCGCAAATAAAAGTGCACAATACGTGGCAATTATGAAATATTTCCAATCATGTGTTCAATAGAAAGAAAGAAAGGGTTGTGAGAAGCTCCTTCGCTCGAGTTGCTACGCACATTTTTTAAAACTAAAAAGTCACGCCCTCGCACAGAGGACACATTCCGATTTTTTGACGGTTTTCGTCATTTTTTCACTTGTCTCAAAAACTACCAGCCAAACCAAAGAAAAGGGTTGAGATGAGCTCTCCTGCAAAAGCTGTGTCGCACAGTTTTTCTTATTAATAAATTATTTTTGTGAATGAATCCAAATTCTAAAAGTTTTTCCTCCTTAATGTTATTACAAAAACAACTAAGGTTTTTGGTGAAGCGCAATTCTCGTGTTTTTGAAAAAACCCATTTCGTTCCGCATCGAAAAAATAATTCGGAAATTATCAAACAGGTACCTCCAGCTTTAGCTGGGAATCTAGTGAAGCAAGAATAATAGCCAGTTGCTATGCACAGAATGTTCCGAATACTACGATTAAGAGTCGAGATGAAGGTCTTGATGAAGGTCTTTTATTAAGGTCGTGATGATTTTTTCCCTTATTTTCTCGGAAAAATTTTCAAATTTGTTCAGGCTAATTTTTCTATTTTAAGTTTTGAATTTCGACGAATACCGAATGTGTAAAAGTCACGAAAAGATCGACTATAGTTTGGAGTTAGTTTCGTATAGTTTGGACTATAGTTTCGAAAGTGGCATTTAATATTAAATAGCCCAGCGAAAAAAAAAACAATTTATCTATTGATCCAATTTTCTCAAATTGGGTTAGTGTTATCAAAAAAAGTTTCGATTCGAATTTATTCTAGAAATTCTGTTTCATTTTATTCTAGAAATTTTGTTTCTTTTTTATTTCTGTTTCATTGCGTTCGTTAAGTCTTTTCCAACCGCTCGGTGGCTATATTTTATATTGTGTGTAATTTTCTATGGCTTCCAGAGATAGAGGTATGTAAAGGACTTATTGCACAAGCGAGCGAGTGAGCATGGTCCTACCCAACACTGCAGCTGATGGCACTTTCGCTGTCATTGCATTGTCAATTAAATAGTATCTGTTGTATCTGATTTATGGATGGCTACCGTTTGCGTACTGTTTAACGACTATGGCATATATTCAAGGAAGTGAGATTCTTATTCTACTTGTTAAGTGTTCGTCTTCGGTACATGTCATTGCAAAATCCAAGCTTTGTCTAATGATGCGAAGCAATTTTTTCTTACCTAAGTCGCAAATAAAAGTGCACAATACGTGGCACTTTTGAAATATTTCCAATCATGTGTTCAATGGAAAGAAGGAAAGGATTGTGAGAAGCTCCTTTGCTCGAATTGCCGCGCACATTTTTTAAAACTATAAAGTCACGCCCTCGCAAAGAGGACACATTGAGATTTTTTGACCGTTTTTGTCATTTTTTGACATGTCTCAAAAACTACCAGCCAAACCAAAGGAAAGGGTTGAGATAAGCTCTCCTGCAAAAGCTGTGACGTACAGTTTTTCTTACTTTTAAATAATGTTTGTGAATGAATCCACATTCTTAAAGTCTTTCCTGCTTAATTTTATTACAAACACAACTAAGGTTTTTGGTGAAGCGCAATTCTCGTGTTTTTGAAAAAACCCATATCGTTCCGCATCGAAAAAATATTTCTGAAATTATCAAACAGGTAAATCCAGCTTAAGCTGGGAATCTAGTGAAACAAGAATAATAGCCAGTTGCTATGCAATAACACAGAATGTTTCGAATACTATGATTAAGAGTCGAGATGAAGGTCTTGATGAAGGTCTTTTATAAAGGTCGTGATGATTTTTTCCCGTAATGTCTCGGAAAATTTTTCAAATTTGTTCAGGCTAAATTTTCTGTCTTTGTGTTTTGAATTTCGACGAATACCGAAATATTAAAAGTCACAAAAAGATCGACTATAGTTTGGAGTTAGTTTCGTATAGTTTGGACTATAGTTTCGAAAGTGGAGTTTAATATTAAATAACCCAGCGAAATAAACAATTTATCTATTGATCCAATTTTCTCAAATTGGGTTAGTATTATCAAAAAAAGTTTCGATTCGAATTTAATCTAGAACTTCTGTTTCATTTTAATCTAGAAATTTTGTTTCTTTTCTTTTATTTCTGTTTCATTGCGTTTGTTAAGTCTTTTCCAACCGATCGGTGGCTATATTTTATTTTGTGTGTAATTTTCTATGGCTTCCAGAGATAGAGGTATGTAAAGGACTTATTGCACAAGCGAGCGAGTGAGCATGGTCCTAGCCATCATTGCAGCTGATGGCGTTTTCGCTGTCATTGCATTGTCAATTAAATAGTATCTGTTGTATCTGATTTATGGATGGCTGCCGTTTGTCTACTGTTAAACGACTATGGCATATATTCAAGGAAGTGAGACTCTTATTCTACTTGTTAAGTGTTCGTCTTTGGTACATGTCATTGCAAAATCCAAGCTTTGTCTAATGATGCGAAGCAATTTTTTCTTACCTAAGTCGCAAATAAAAGTGCCCAATACGTGGAAATTATGAAATATTTCCAATCATCTGTTCAATGGAAAGAAAGAAAGGGTTGTGAGAAGCTCCTTCGCTCAAATTGCTACGCACATTTTTTAAACTAAAAAGTCACGCCCTCGCAAAGAGGACTTATTGAGATTTTTTGACCGTTTTTGTCATTTTTTGACTTGTCTCAAAAACTACCAGCCAAACCAAAGGAAAGGGTAGAGATGAGCTCTCCTGCAAAAGCTGTGACGTACAGTTTTTCCTATTTTTAATTATGTTTGTGAATGAGTCCACATTCTTGAAGTTTTTCCGGTTTAATTTTATTACAAAAACAACTAAGGTTTTTGGTGAAGCGCAATTCTCGTGTTTTTAAAAAAACATATTTCGTTCCGCATCGAGAAAATAATTCGAAATTATCAAACAGGTACCTCCAGCTTTAGCTCGGAATCTAGTGAAACAGGAATAAAAGCCAGTTGCTATGCAATAGAGCAGAATGTTTCGAATACTACGATTAAGAGTCGAGATGAAGGTCTTGATGAAGGTCTTTTATAAAGTTCGTGATGAGTTTTTCCCGTTTTGTCTCGGAAAATTTTTCAAATTTGTTCAGGCTAAATTTTCTATTTTTGTGTTTTAATTTTCGACGAATACCGAATTTGTAAAAGTCAAAAAAAGATCGATTATAGTTTGGAGTTAGTTTCGTATAGTTTGGACTATGGTTTCGAAAGTGGAGTTTAATATTAAATAACCCAGCGAAATAAACAATATATCTATTGATCCAATTTTCTCAAATTGGGTTAGTAATATCAAAAAAAGTTTCGATTCGAATTTATTCTAGAAATTCTGTTTCATTTTATTCTAGAAATTTTGTTTCTTTTCTTTTATTTTTGTTTCATTGCGTTCATTAAGTCTTTTCCAACCGCTCGGTGGCTATATTTTTTATTGTGTGTAATTTTCTATGGCTTCCAGAGATAGAGGTTTATAAGGGACTTATTGAACAAGCAAGCGAGTGAGCATGGTCCTACCCAACACTGCCGCTGATGGCACTTTCGCTATCATTGCATTGTCAATTAAATAGTATCTGTTTTATCTGGTTTATGGATGGCTACCGTTTCCGTACTGTTAAACGACTATGGCATATATTCAAGGAAGTGAGACTCTTATTCTACTTGTTAAGTGTTCTTCTTCGGTACATGTCATTGCACAATCCAAGCTTTGTCTAATGATGCGAAACAATTTTTTCTTACCTAAGTCGCAAATAAAAGTGCACAATACGTGATACTTATGAAATATCTCCAATCATTGCCAATTAATTAGCATCTGTTGCTGATTCATTCATGACGTAGATGCGAGGACGTGATACTCCTAACCTGAAAGTCGGAAGTTTGAATCCGGAAGAGTGAAATAGTTTTTTCATTTGGTGGCACTTTCGCTGAATAGCTTGGCAATTTAATAGCAACTGTAGCTGCTTCATTGGTAGCTAGTGTTAGTAATTTTTAAGCAATTTTGGTGCAGATGCGAGGACGTGATAATCCTTATCTACATGTTGGAGATTCGATTCCTGCACATAGCAAAAGTTTCATTATTCACGGCTTATTTTACTTTTTTCTTAGTTTGTTTTTCCCTTCTTGGAGCTTCTTTTTGCCGGTGTTTTGTATCCGTTAAATTGATTGCCAGTATTTGACGATTGTTAAATTTACTTTTGCTCAGATAGGACGATTTCAATCTCCAATTCGGTGGTTGGATTCCGACACACGTCGAAATTTTTTTTCTTATTTTCACCTTTTTTTCCTTATTTCATTTTTCACCTTTTAGAGATATCTTTTGCCGTTTCATCGCTTGTGTTTGCAAACTGCAGCTTTGCCTCTGTGTATTCTTCCAGTTAGTGGTTTTTTTATTGGTTAAACGTTTGATTTTAGATAAACGATGACACAATCTTTCGATCAACTGTGCAGTCTGTCCAGTCGGGTTTGGATTGCTCTGCAATAGCTGTGGCTACTCAAGAACTGTTGTACCCTTATGAATACGAAGTGAAAATTTTAGATGTATGTGTCAAGCAAGAGAACAGCCATGTGCCACAGTTCATTCATCAAAGTAACGTCTTTAAAGGTAAACAAATTAAGATGAGTGTATTTGTTACCCTTGTGATTAGCAAAGGTCTTTTAATCGGGTACTAGGCTTTTTTCACGTAGATAACTGTGCTCACAGGGTGATCTCCATTTCAATAGCTCTGTTTTCAACACCTTGCACGTTTAACACCTCGAGTTATTGTGCCATGCGTTTTTGGATATATGGTTAACAAATTTCAGATGTAAAAACTGTTTTTTTTTTGTTGGCTTTCGGCACAATTTTTGTCGGCATATTTGCCTAGTGTTTTTTTCCTGAAACTTTTATTCAAATGATGATTGAATTCAATTCATAGAAAGTAAGTTACCTTATGAAAGGCTTTTTTATACACGTTTTTAACTCGCTTTTTAATACTCGCTAAAACTTCCAGTTTGAGAACAAAAAATTTTTCAACGATTTTGTTCGACTTTTTTTTCATTTAAAGTTTTATTTCGAATGCAGTGTTTCTGATTATAACATCAAATTGAGTCAACCATCTGGTATGTGTGTCATAGAGGTAAGACTTGTGGTTCGACTCCGACCGAGACCTGTTTTTGGTTCTGGCAAAGTTGATTTTTTTGCGCTTTTTCAGGCTATTATCCGTTTGCTTTTTTTTTGGCTTGACTCCCGTAGCCCATTTTTGTTTTCAAGTTTCAGCTTTTTTTTTACTGTTGCGATAAGCAAAGTTATTGCAATCGGTTACAAGACTTTTTCCCGTAAACAACTTAGTTCACAGAATGGACGAAATGAAATGGTAACTGTTTCACTAGCACCATGGTTAGTTTAGTGTGTAGTAGTTGGTTGCATATCAAGAATGGGCTCTGTGTTCCTGTTAAGAGGTTTTTTGAGAATATTTTTTTCGGAGCCGAAAGTTTTCGGTAGAATTTCGACGCAGGAAGAGGTCCGCTTTAATTCCGTCGGCTTTGTTTTTTTTTTCGATTAACTTTCTTTGGTACTATTAGATAGTGATTGATTTCGTATATGAAATTTTGGAAAAGTTTAAGTAAACTTTCTATACTCTTTCAAAAGTGAAAAATTAAACTAAAAAAAAGTCCTTAATATTTTTTTGGAGAAATAGTCAAAGTTTTCAACAATATTTGCCTCATTTTTTTGTCCTGTTTTTTTTTCACCATTTTTGTTAACTGACCTATTTTTCAAGGTAGCCATTTCATTTGATACAAGAAGATTGATGTCCTACCAAATCAGAATTAAACGCATTTGTTGCTTTACTGTGTTAACTTGAGTTGCTGTAGCTACTGCTCCTGATTAACTTTTTGTATTCTTGTAGTTGAAAATAATTTAATGTGAAATTGTAACAAAATACCATTTCAGTTTTTACACTTGGGAAGCGAGTGTATAAGTGCGAACCTTCCTTTGTTTTTTTTTAACCTAAGTCGCAAATATTGGAGCCAATTTTGGGGCAACTTTTTAGCTTTTTCATAGCATGTGCTTTGACCTTCGAATAGTTATAAGTTAACACAGTTGTTGCATTTTTAATTCATCAAACGAACCGAAAAAAGTGATTTGTTTCAAACAACATAACAATAATGAAAACACGATTTCAGAAATATATCTCGCACTTTTTTTGAAATGCATAAATTATACACAATGTGACTGTATGATTTGCGATTTGTTACATGCAAAGTTAGTGTGGATGCCTTCAGTTTGTTCTATTCCAAATTATTACTTGCAAAATTGAGTCGACTTGTATTTGGTGCCTTTTTTGCTTAATGGCATTGGCAATTCATTAGCATATGTAGGGGCTTCCTTCATGACTAGTATTTGTGGGTTGTGAAGCTTGAGTGGCTGAGGGGGCAGTGCGTGAGACTAAAAATCTCTTAATTGCAGGTCGCAGATTCGAATCCTACTCGTAGCCGAGTTTTTGCTGATTCGAGGCTTTTTTCTACTTTTTCTTTCAACTTGATAGAGCTGCTTTTGGGTCGTGTTCTTGCATATGCTTGCGAAGCCTAGCTTCGTCTCTGTACTCATTTTTTTGTTGTCAATTTAAAAAAAAAACGTTCCACATAATTTTATTTCACTTCCAGATATTATTGAAACGTTTCCGGACTCATTCATTTTTCGAAATGGTTCCATGATACCTTTTTGTAAGCAGTTTTAGTTGATTAAGGTTCTTTGGGTTGAGGTTTTGTTCAACTTTTTCTTTCTTTAAACTTGTTTTTCTCTGACAAGTTTCTTTTTAGGAATTAAAATCGGCGTTTGTTTTCGGCTTCAGAACTTCAAAATCCTTTGTTTGTTCTTTCGTGTAAATACATCTTTGTTTGATTGGAGTTTTTGAGCAATTTTTCTGGAAGCAAGAAGAATTATTATTAGATTTTCCATTATTTTGTAATGCTTTTTTAAGTTTATAAGTCAAGTTTTTTTTCAGGTGATGTGTGTTGTTTACTTCACATTAGTGCTGATTGTTGCAAAATAATATAAAACGGGTGACATGTCAGTATTTAGACAGCCGCGTATTCATACTGGTCAGTATTTAGACAAAAATTGAGTTAACCAATCAGAATAGAGAAAGCAAAAATAAAAATCACTTAAGAACAATGAAATATTATTGGACAAAACTTAAAACGATATTTTAGGCGGAAAAAATTTAAGCCGACAGAAAGTTAATAGTTTGAGAAAGTTCATAGTTTTTCAAAAGTTTTGACAAATGACTGCAACTCCCTCACAATACATTTTCGATGACAAGTGACCCCCCAGATAAGAATTTTTCAGGCGAAATATTTTTTCGTCCAATAACTGATGTTTTCGTCGTTTTTTTGTGGCTGATTTGCCACGCGAAATTCTTCATAATTGCATGCGAGACTCGATTTCTTGGGCACCTAATTTTTTCAGCAAATTCCAAAAATTTGGCCGAACGACCCCAACTTCTTTGTTCCATCTCATATTCCAATTTTCGCATTTGTTGGTAGTTCTAAGGGTCACATCCCTGTCAAAAACATTCAACGTAACAAGGGGGACGTAACCACTTATCCAAAATTCAGTAATGTACTGAAAAAATTTTTCAAGATTTTGGTGTCGAGAAAAAATTTCCGATATTTCGGACTGATAACTTTGGAAACATACAATCAGCTCATCAACGGTAAAAAAGGCAAGTTGAATAGTCTACAAGCTATCATGTGCAGGGTCGGATCATTTTTATATTCTCTCGAAAATCCGAGTTCTTGAAACTTTCGGAAAATACACTGGGTATAGTGAAACCAACATCCGAGATGGCTCGTGACGTAAAACACTTTTTTGATTGCCGGCAAGATCCCAGTTTCGAAATCAGTCAAAAAAATTTCGGGCATTAACGGCCAATTACAAAAAAATTGGCATTTTTGGGTCAAAATCTCGAAAAATTTTTGGTATGTTTCTTCACTCTTTCGCATGAGAAATGCCCAGACGACCGGTACTTTCCACTTTTCACTCGATCCAAAAATTGTATAAATCTGCAAGAACGGTCGGGGGGCCGTTTTGAACGTTCCATCACCCAAAATATTTTTTGATCTTACCAAAAATTCGAGTCTTGAATTGATGCAAAAATTAGCATATCATCGCCTTGGTGCAGTAGAAAATCCTTGTTGTTAGAGGTTTTCGTCCATTGGTCGTTGATATTTATTTCCTCAAAACTTCTGGGTATGGGGGGCAATTTTTTTCCGCGGGTTCGGCTCATTGATTTTCGTACTTGGCTGAATGCTGGCGGTAAATAATTCTCATCTGTTTCCTGCACTTGATTTTCGTAAATTGTTTTCAGCGGGACAACTGGGTTTTTTTCAATTTTTTCGATGATTTTTTCCTTAAACTTTTGCTCCGACACGCGATCTTCTGGGGGCAAGTGGGGGTGAGTTGCAGGTTTATAAATAATTTTGTTATTTGAAATTTCGAGAGTTAATCGGGACGGGCAACTATCGATAACGCATTTATAGTATTGAATGTTTTCTCTTTTTCGGCTTTTCTTATATAAGTAACCATCAAAAAGTAAGTTTTCCCCTCTGAACGGGGCTTTCACAAAAGAAAATTCCATTATTTTGCGATAATTTATTGCCAACTTTCGGCCAATTGAGATATTAATTCGTTAGTCTTCAATTTCTTGTTTATTTTGGTGTTCAGATTTTGATTCGTTTCGACCAATCAGAATTGAGTATTTACTTTGTCTAAATACTGACTAGTATGAATACGCGGCTGTCTAAATACTGGCTGCACTCCTATAAAACGGTAGGGTATATTATCTTAGCTGAAAACGAAATCAGAATTCTGGCCAGTTTAAAATGTCAGTTGGAGTCAATTTCATTTTGTTGCTCGTTTTTTTTTAAAATTGTTTCCCAAGATTTTTCCAATCTGTTTTTAAACTTTTTTCCAGACGTTCTTTTTTTCCATCGCAAGTGGTGCGAAGCTCTGCGTTGCCTCTGTGACGAAGTTGCTGTAACACCCATGGTTGAGACAACAGGGCCCAGGAGTTCGATTACAGTTGGGACATATTTCTTCGCAAATTGAAAACTTTCGCCTATTTTAGATTTTTGTTTCTGCTTATTTTGATGACTTAGCTCTAAAAGAAAGGAGTTGTTTTTAGCATCCTTTGTAGAGGTTTCAATTGTACTGGTAACTAACTTTGTTCCCGATATTTGGGGCTTTTGCATTTTTTTTTTTTTGAAGAGCATTTTTTTAAAATTTGATTTCATTCATAGTCATTCATTTTTGAATCGCTAGTGGCGCGAAGCTCAGCTTCGTCTTCTTGTCAACGCGTAAAAACTAGAGCAAAAGACCTGAGGTACACGTTTTGCAGAATTAGTAATATTAAAAATCAAAGATCAGAAATTTGATCTAAGAGCCTATGTTTGCCATTTTTTTTGTAAAATTTATGGGTAGTGTTTGCTCAACTAGAAGTTCTGATGTGCTCGTTGGTGATGTTCAATTTAATTCTCCCTGATGAGCAGAAGCTCTATTTACAATTATTTCTAATTCGGTTGAACTGTTTTAAAATTGGGTGTACATTCTGTAAATTAATCTAACTCATTTCCCATTTCTCGAGAAAAAATGTTGATGTTGCAGTTCGAAAATTTGTGAATATGTGACATGGTTTTTTGCTGCTTAGTTCCTGAAAATGCTGAAAGAGGATATGTCATAACAGAACTACGAGCCGAGGATGAAGACTTTGGCCCGAACGGAGAGCTAGTCTTTTACATTGAGAATGCCCAATTAGACATCTTCACAATTGAAGGTGAGAAACAATTTTTGTACGAGAAACAATTTTTGTACTCAATTCCGAACGATAGAAATTTCCCCGTTAACGTTTTTTATTTTAATTAGCGAGAAGCGTAGTGTATTAGTACCAACCTTCTTTTTTTCTAACCTAACTCGCAAATGAAAGAGTTCGTTAAAAGTGTTCACTTTCATATAATCTCTCTTTGTAGCATTGGAAATTTCAAAGCATCTGTCCTCTGCTTTATTTGTGGCTAGTGTTAGTGCTTTAATATAATGAATTGTTAGTGCAATGTTAGTGTACTCGCCTCTGTATAAAATTTCGAAATTGGAATTTAATGTCAGATTTCTCAGCGGAATAAAGAAAACTTACCTGTTGGTCCCGTTTTCTCTAATTGGGGTAATTCAATCAATAAAGGGTCGATCATAAGTTGCTGTAGAAATTCAAAAAGCTCTACGGGCATATATATTTTTCGAAAGTTGAGATACTTTCAAAATTCAAAAGTTAAGAGATTTTTTCAAAAAATAAGTCAGTTGACTATCTGTCTGTTGCCTATGTTCATTTTTTTCCGACTTTTTACCGCCTCGACTCTTTTTTTTTCTCGAGTCATTGGGGTCGGAACATTCAATGCTACGTGCACAGCAATTTGCCCTCCTTGTTATACTGTCACTTTTTTGTAGGAACTGAGCTTCAATTACTAGTGGATTTGGAGACAATCGCTCTAAACACAAAGAATATCGAAATAGAAGTGAAAGTAAGCGACAGCGGAATTCCTCAACTATCATTTTCCACTATATTTAGTGTATATATTGTTTCTAAAAACACGTTCTCCATTCGATTCTCCCATGAAAATTATACAGCATCAATTGAGGAGAACTTGCTCCCGGGGACCCTGATTGCATTGTGTCGAGCAAATATCTATGACAATTCAGCTGTAGTAACCGATGAAAAGAATATAGTTTACAGCATTACAATAACCGAACCAGAGGCAGTTGGAGAAAAAATAGAAATGGAATATTTAACAGGCAGAATAGTTGCAACAGATTTGGTCATTGACTACGAAGATGTGAAGATTTTTACTATTCACATTCAAGCCACCGATAATTTGACATCAGTGGGCACGCTGACAGCAAATGCAGAAGTAGTAGTAACAGTAATTGACATAAATGATAATGTACCGACTTTTTTCAACCCCTCTGGGCTTACAAATGAAGTTCTAGTACCAAGAATAACCGTTCTTATTGCAGAAAGTAACGAAGAAAATAGACCGATATTAAATTTATCTGATTATATCAGAGATCAGGATGCGAGTTTTCAGCAAAGCTACAACTTCGAAATCATCACCGGAACCGATTTATTCTTTATTGACAATACATCATATAGTGTTCTGAAAACGAATAGAATTCTGAGTTGCGCTCATTTTGACTACGAAGGCGACGGTGGAATCCGAATAAGAGTAACAGATGAAACTAATGAAGAACACTTTTCGGAAGCCATTTTCGAAATAATAGTTGTCGATAGTTTGAACAATATGGCTCCCCAGTTTCAATCGGAGAGTTACACTTGGCCAGCAAAAGAAAGTGCTCTGGTAGAAACTGAAATTGGTAAGCTGGTTGCTACTGATGGAGATTGCGCTGAAGTGCCGCCATATGTTACGAGGCTGCAAAAATACTACAGGAACAATCCAATCTCAGCTGAATTGCAAACAATACATTTTGTCAACTCGCTGAAATATTTCCTGATTCCTTCTTTGTCGGCCGAAACTAATTCAAGAATTACAACTTTTCTCGAGTTTTTCAATCTGGATGAAGAAACAGGAGAACTGACGCTCCAGCAGAGTCTTAATTACGAAAACGAGACAGTCTTCGACTCAAAAGTACTAGCTGTTGATGCGCCCCGTCCAAGAAAAATAGCATCTGTACCTTTGAGAATTGTGGTTATCGACGAGAACGAAGCTCCATCTTTCCATCAAGAGCTTTACAGTGCAACTCTGAGTGAAACGGAGTCTATTGGAATTGAGATACTCCGGGTCTCAGCGTTCGACCGGGACAAGTCGCTGGATTTCTCGAACTTTGTCTTCACATTAAAGCAACCTAATTCGGGTGTTTTCACAATCGGAGAACAAACTGGAGTTGTTACTAATTTGATTCCTCTAGACAGAGAAACTCTGGGAGACGTCCTGACGTTTGAAGTCATTGTAGCAGATTCAGTTGACAATCAAATCAATGACGTCGCTAATCTTACCGTGCTAATTAGAGATGTGAACGATAATGCGCCTGTTTTAAGCGGAGAATTAGCAGAAAACCGAAAGCTTGAAGTAAATGAAAACGCTCCAATAGGGACACTTATATTAGTTTTGGATGCAATAGTTGACCTAGATAGTCCGGAGAACGGAGCTCCTTTTACAATTGATGTTACTGGATTGCCGGCGAGAGATTACATCGAAGTAGTCGGCAATGAGCTAAGAACCAAAGAGAATTTTGATCATGAGCTGACTCCATTTGTCGAAATCCCAGTTAGCATAACAGATAATGGGACCCCTGAAAAATCTAGCTTGGTTAAGTTTCATTTAGAGGTCAAAGATGTTAATGACAATCCCTCATTTGCTAAATCTTGGAATGTGAATCTATTCTCATTCAACTTCTTGCCAAATCTGCACATTGGATTTCTCTATCCCGATGACGTGGACAATACTAGCAATCAATTCTCTTGCTCTGAAGCCAAAAGCTTGAGCATGAATGAACTGTTAGAAGTTTCTGAAAAATGTGCGCTTCTCTGGAAGTCCAATGCGCAGTCTAGCCTTGGTGAGATTTCTATCATTCAATACAAAAGTAACGATGGTCAGCACGCTGACGTGATAAACAGTGTCACAATCAATGTTAACAAGATGAACGCGAGAACAGAAATTATTGCAAACAGTTTGTTTGTTCGCATCGAAGACCTTACAACTGACCAGTTTCTGGAATCGGAGTTGCAGAACTTGGTGACAGTTTTGCATGACTTGTTAAATGAAAGTTACCTTGTCATAAACATTTGGGAGGTTAAAACTCCAGACCCGTCGATGCTACTTTTGCTCTCGCCAGAAACGTTGAGTGATTCTGACACGGGTGTCAGAAACAGAATCAATGAAGTTCGAATATTGTCCGGACTCAAAATCAGTCGTATAACGACTAGTGCGTGTGAAGCTCTTGCAATCTCTGAGTGTATTAACGAAACAGACAGTTGCAATCAAGAGATAACATTTCCTACTTCGGCATCTGAAAGAAGTGTGTTCAGGAGCGACTCAGTAATTCTAAACACGGTCAAAGTAGAACTGAAGTTAACATGTGAACCTGAAGATGATTCGAGGAGTCACTGTGTGGATAATGAAAACGGAAGAATTCTGATTTGTTTCAACTATGGTAAATGTTCAACGAGCGAAAGCGGTCAATTAAGTTGCGATTGCAGTGAAGAATTCACTGGCCAGTCATGTGAAATCGAAAACGACTTGGACATGCGACAATGTCACAAAGAAGGCACTGTAGAATTGTGCCAAACTGATGCGGGCTCTTTTTGTGTGGAGGGAAACACTATTGATGATTATGAATGCATCTGCAACTTCCCATACTCAGGTAATTGTTTGGAAATGAAATGTAATTTGAGTACATCTAGATCGAATAAATATTTGTTATTTTGTAATAGCAAAGTCACATTCAATTCCTTGTGTTTTTCTTGACTAAAATGATAAAAGGTTAGAATATGACCAGTTTGAAGGCTTACAATTGGCTAAACTTCTGCTTCGTGGTTCAGTGGTTGAGTTTTGAATATGACATAGGGACCACGTGCCAACAAATGATGGACATTTGCTCGGATGCTAGGAACCCTTGTAAAAACGGAGCTCAATGCAAAGCAGACACCGAAAACGATCAAAGCTTCCGATGCTTTTGTCCTTCCGGATATTTTGGAGTTCTGTGCGAGAAGGCTTCTGTTGGTTTCGGACCTTCCAGCTCTATTCAAATGTCATCTGTTGTATACTGGGAACAGTATCGACAAAATGACGAATTAGAGAATGCACAATTGAAAATTGTCATCGGCTTTTCAACTTTGCAGAAGAATGCTCTGGTTCTTATCGACTACGAGCCAGGTCTACAAAATATTGGCCAAACTTTAACAAGTGGTCAGTTTTTCTTGGAACTGAGAGAAGGACTTCCAAGACTTGTGGTAGTAAGTCATCCCAATGAAAGTTCTTTCTCTGACGACGGAGAGGGTGAAAAATTGCTGGAATTGTCAAATGATGTATACTGCGCAGATGCAGTTTTCCACGAAGTAACAATTACTTTCACACATACCGTAAGTTGTTCGCTTGTTTAGTTTGACGATAACCTGACTATTTAAATTTGTCTTGAATAGCTTCAGCGATTAAATGATTGGAAGTTAAATGTAATTGAGTCAAGTCGTTTAACTTTTGGACTTATTTTCCAGGCTGTAGCAATGCAAACGGACGACTGTGACACATGCGAACAAATGCATACACGAAACTCAACTTTGTAAGTTTTCAGCCTAAAAAACTTCTACAATTCTGATGAAGATATGATCGGATCAACTATATTAGAATTGATAAACCAAAGACGCAGAGTTCTTCATTAACAGTCTATATGTCGTTGATTTTGATATGTTGTTCTTAGGGTCAATAAATTATCAAGTGGGTCATTTTTTTTCATCGGAGGACTGGATCACCTCGAAAGAAATGGTATCACAGCCTATCCACCCGTGTGGCCATACAGTGAACTGGCAGCTGCAAGTTTTGAAGGCTGCATTTCAAAATTGGCAATCAATTCGGAGCGCAAAAATCTGCTGAGCTACAAAACAGATACTAGTAACGTAGATGGTGATTGCCATCGGAAACAGGTAAAGTAGAGGAGAATCATATTAAAGTTTTAGCCTCCATGTGAAACGTATTTGTCACCTGTATGAAGTGGTATACAATTTAAAAACAGATTTGGGATAATTTTTTTAAATCTCATAAAAGACGTTGTGACACATTTTTTTTTATTGGAGGAGAGGAGGTGATTAACTGAAAATTTCTCGTCGAATTAAAAGGAAATTCTCATACAGCAGTTCTCTGATGGTTTCTTTGCAAACAGGTTACATTCTGTGAGGCTGAGTCGTGTTCGGGAGACTCAACCTGTGAGGAAGATTGGAAGAGTGACTTCATCTGCCTCTGTTCAGACTACCACAGTGGCCCCACATGTGAAAGAGGTATGTTATTACACTACCGAGCTTAGTTCATTAGCATGACTCTACTTTTTCCTACCTACTCGCAAATTTAAGTAATTAAGAGTAGAACACAGTGAAGACTCTTATATAGGTCTTGCTGATTTTTTTGTTTTTTTTTCAGGAAAAAGTCTAAAAATACTGATGCACTTAGGTATAATGCACTTTTTGAGGTCAATTGAAAATCACCTGCTGAAAGTGACGTAAATAGCACTCTCCAGATGCGAACGTGGAAATGGGGCAAAAATTCGTGAACGATTTCTAGTTTTGAAAGTGGAATTTAATTTTTAGATTTCCAGTGGAAAGAAAAACCTGTTGATCCAGTTTTCTCAATTTGCGTTATTGTTATCAAAAAAGCGCAAATCACAAATTGTTCTTGAAATTCAAAGAGCTTAAAGGGCATCTATTTTTTCTTTGAAATTCGAAAAAAGCTGAGATTTTTTCAAGAAAATCAGTGTTTTTTCAAGTTTACTTGCGTTCATTACTCTTTTCCAATCTTCGATTGGCTATATTAATTTGGTAGCTTATTTGTTATAATCACGATCTGCAGCATTGGACATCTCATAGCATCTGTTCTCTGCTTTATTGGTGGCTATTATGTGCCCTGGGACAGAGAGAAAGTCGTGAGACTCCTGATAGTTTAGTCGGAGGTTCAGCAGCGCACTTAGCACTACTTTTTTGATATTGCAGTTTTGCTGCATGGCATTAGTAATTTATTAGCATCTTTAGCTGCATCATTATAGCCGACATAAAGCAAAAACTATACTAATTTGAGGCTTATTTCACTTAATAGAGCTGCTTTTTGTCGGTTTTTTTCTACTGTTCGCGAATTTTATGTTTTACATTTTCAAAGAATTGTTCAAAAAACGTAGATATTGTGTTAGGTTTTCATGGTTTGAGGTTTTCATTGTGTGTTAGATATTGTGTTGGGTTGAGTTCTTTCACATTCTTCCATTAGTTATTTTTACAAGATCTGAATGCAGACAGACCATCTGATAAGACAAAAGAGCATGCGCGCCTTGGGTTATAATACGAGTTAGTTTTCTAAGAGTAATGAACGTAGTGAGTACTCTTACAGTAGGTCTTGCTGGTTTTTGTTTTACAGGAAAAAGTCTTAAAAATTGTTCACGCTCAATTTTAATTTTTCGCGGTTTGACTTCTGATTTCTTTTTAAGTGCACTGCATTTATATTGTTAAAAGGAAGGCAAACTCTACTATTAAACAGCAAATTTGTAAAGGTAACGAAAAACGTGATCGACTTCTAATTTCGAAAATGGAAACTAATAATCAGATTTCCCAGCGAAAGAAAAATTTTACCTATTGATCCAGTTTTCTCAAATTGGGTTAATTTAAAGGAAAAAGTGTCCATCATAAATTGTTCTACAAATTCAAAGAGCTTTAAGACCATTTATTTTTTCTTCGAATTTCAAAAGTTGAAGATTTTTGAGAAAACCAAGTCGGTTTTTTTAGTTTCCTTGCGGTCATTACTATTTTCCAACTGTCGGTTGGCTATGTTTGCAATCCTACTGGAGTAAAATTGTGCTCATTTTAGTGGCATTTTTGCTCCTAGCATTGGTGATATAATGTGCTTAAGCGCCTTGTTGATGGCTAGTGTCTGTTAATCTGAAGAGAATTTTTTGCAGATGCGAGGACATGAGATTTTTAATCTTCAGGTTAGGGGTTCAATTCCAGCGCATGGTAAAAACTGATTTTCAGGGCCTATTTTTTTACTTTAATTTGCAGCCAATTGCCGCTTGCGTTTGCGAAGAAGTTCGCCTCTGTCTTTTAATGTGATGATGCTCGACATAAAAAATCACCCGAATCTAAATAACCAATGTGAAAATAAGTGGTCGCACTAAAAGCTGCAAGTTCTTGTATTTTGATTCAATGTCTTCATATTTTTCGAGCTCATACACTTATTTGCAATCAACAATTAGCTGTTTTGAAATAAATACCTAAAATGGATCGGCTTTAGATATTCAATCAGTAACCTGTTGTCCGTTTTAGGCGTTGAGTCTTTAGCCATAAGTGAGACTTCAAACTATGTGCTGCGTTTGAATTCTGTGGCCGTTTCGAACTTAGCTCTCAGTTCCAACCTAGACAACAATGAGGACTCAATTGGGAGATTTAGAAGATCGTTGACCTCTGAGTTAGGGAATAGTGATCCTGAGACAGTGACACTAAGGATTTCCTTCACACAATTGGACTCCAACTGGCGCACAATCATGAGTTACAACTTCACGAATGACTTTGAAGAGTTCCGCTTGCAGGTAGTTTTTGCAATTTTATATTCACTGCTTAGATTTATTTAACGATTGTGTGAAGGATTTAACATCGGAGTGAAGATAACGGAAATCATTGACGTCCAATAGCGTGATCCCACTGAAAGAAAAATCACACAACCTAATGTTTTGATCAAAAAATTAGTTGGCGGGAGGTGTGTTTAAATTCTTGCTACCATCAAACGAAAACAAGAAATTGTAGGGATTGAATATAGCTTTTTTGAAAGTTCTCTCGCATTGAAAATTTGAACTTGCTCCCCATTTCTTTTGTTCAAAGAATCGTATTGTTGATTACTAATGCATAACGATGCGAGTGATATATTCGTTTTTGATCAACGCAATTTGTTCCAGGTGTCGGTTGCAGCATTTTTGATAAGCATTGGAAGCAGTTCTTGGGAAGTTTCTGTCCCTGAAGACGGGTTGCTATCGGGGATATTCTACAACATTGAGTTGACCAGAAATGAGCTGAGGTTGAATGGCTTCACTTTGTCCTCAAACGACCGGTGGGAAAACAGGCGAAGAATCCTGTCATCTTATTTGGACGCACTCGTGTTTGGTGGCTTAGAGCAAGGTAATGCATTTTATTAGGATACAAACAGTTTTTTTCCCATTCTGAATTAAGATAAAGAATCGGTCGATAATAAAAGTTCGATTACAAATTGCCCACAAGAGTGAGCAATAAGTGTGCATGATGACTCGCCGATATCAAGTATACATTTTTTAGGGTTTCAAGGGTGTCTGCTGTCGGCAAAAATCAACAATGAGAGGCTTCTGCAGCCTAATCTATCGTCAAAACTAGAAGACATCTTCACAACGGTTATCGTATCGTCAACAGCGACGCAATCGAATGTCATATTCTGCGATAGAAGCCGTTTATGCACTAATTCCTCATGTCCTGCGTCCTTGTCTTGCATATCGTTGGTGGACCGATTTGAGTGCCTGGACCCAACTGCTTGCGCGAATAACGAGTGCCAACACGGCACCTCCTGTATACCAGACGGAAACTTTCCTTCCAACTTGTACGAGTGTGACTGTCGGCTGAACTTCGAAGGACGATTTTGTGAGCATAGTTTGTACTGTGATGACCATGCAAACCAGTGCGCAAGTGATGAAAAATGTGTGCCAAATTTAGGCCCAGAACAGCCTGCTTATGAGTGCGTTTCGACTAACGATGAAATTAGTTGGTTTGTGTGGTTGATGCTGGCTGGAGGATTAGTGATTTTACTCACACTAATCTTAGCGGTTATAATAGTCTGTCTTTGTAGACTAAGAACGCATGAGGTCTCTAAGAGCGAGAGTAAAGTAGGTGTGGTGATGTTTGATAACAATTCTTCACCGACTCCTATCAAGACAGCTAATCCAGTTGCACCTGACTTACTGGCACATGTGCCAGATAGATTCATCAACGATAATTTCACCCTGGTAGCACCAGGAATTGAAGTCGAAGAAAATGTAGATGACACGATGTTAACGAGCACTGATTACAAGCGACCGGAGTATAGCCATTTCATGATTGATAGCAGATATGCAAGGAATGCACTTCCTTTCCCTGGCAGTTCAATGGCGTTCGGAGGTTTTAACCAGCAGAGTGAGATGAGAAGTATAGCTGAGCGTGATGTAATGCCGACAGTCGAGGAGCTGGAAGAAAGCCGGACGCGGGATCGGATGAGGTCGAAAAGTAGCTCAACCACGCACCATACTTTCCAGCACAATCATGATGCGCAAAATAATACAACGTATGCAGAGTCTTCAGTGACTGACTTGGAAAATTACGACAGTATGGGAGGATACTCCACTCCTGGTAAAATGCGCAAGAACTCAAATCTCAACTTGACCCCCTACATTATACAGTCTCAGAAAGAACAACGCGTGCGTGCTTTAAAGCGCAATCACAACAAATCAGGCAGTCTACCCGACTATTCCGATCACAGTGATTTGTACCGACGATTCAATAATTCTTTGAACCCGCATTTCATACCAAAATATGTCGATAATGTTGAGTTCGGAGGTCAGTTTGAACTTACGGAACCTACGGTATCAGTAATTACTGAACGTCTTTCCCCTAACATACCTGCGCCCATTCAAGAAGACCAGAGTGGCTTTCCCCCTAATGAAGATGACTTCTCAACTCGCTCGTATTATCAGTCATCGATACGTCCGCCAAGCGAAATCTACGACTTATCAAACTCTGAATCTGAGGATCTTGGTGCCCAAATTCAGAACTCAAAGCTACCCAGGCTGCACTTCGAACCCATTTCCAGTGACCCCAACATAAACAGTCCAGACCACGTGAGGGGAGGTGCCGGTGATCTTCACCTTCAATTAGAGTCTGGTCTCAATCCCAATATGTTATGTATCCCCCCACCCCCAGATACGGACTATGAAGAAAACGAATCTGTAAATAGTCATCATCGACGTAGTGGTGGGAGCATTGCACATTCTGCACTTAGTATTAATTCGCCGACAAGCTTGCACTCTCGTCCAGAATCTAATCCGGAAAAGTTTTTCCAACAAGGAAACTTCAACTCTTTTTTTAAAGGAATGATAAATTTTGAGGCCTTAGCCCCAGTGTTCCAAGACTTGGCAGATCTGCCTAACATTCCGGACTTATATGAAAATGAAGACGATGACTTTACTCAGTCTACTTCGCAGTTTGTACCATAGCTGTAAATTGTAAATACTGGCTATTTTAATAATTGTTAGAGGTTATTTTGCACCATAGATTAAAATTTAAAGGTTCGAAGTTTACTTTGGTTGATTATTACGCTGAGAAAAAGTTGGTCAGTGATCTCAGTATCAGTGATCATGAATCATGAATATTTTTGGCAAATATCAAAGCTTATTAAGACGTGGTTGTCTCGGACAGAGGTCAAAGAAAATAATCAAATACTAATTTACCTAACTACTAGTATAAGTTTGTTAGATGGGTTCCGGTATCATCAGGGGTTGCAAATCTAGCGTTCCAGGTATGACTGTTCAGATCCTTTTTGTTTTCGAGATATGGCGTTTTTATGTTTTTTTTTTTCATTTGAAAAAAAAACTTAGATATAAAAACCAACAGAGCTGTAACTTATCAACCCTATAGTCCAGTGCTCTCAGGGTACACTCAGGAGTTGCAAATGTGGCGTCCGAGCGTGACTGCTCAAATCCTTTTAGTTTTCGAGATATGGTGTTTTTTATGGTTTTTCATTTTTTTTTTCAAAAGCTCAGTCAGATGTAAAAAATAATTCGAAATTGAAATTCTCCACCCTCTAATAGGGTCTGGTTAGAGGAAACTCAGAAGTTGTAAATCTAGCGTCCAAGTATGACTGCTCAAATCTTTTTGGTTTTCGAGACATGGCGTTTCTTATGATTTTTTCGATTGTTTTTTTCAAAAAAAACTCAGATAAAATAAATTGTTCGAAATTGAAATTCTCCACCCTCTAATGGGCTCTGATCAAGATGTTATTCGAGATGTGTCGTTTTTTTTGTAAAAAAAAGAAACCCCTGATAGATGTGGATAGCTCCTTTTTATGTTCAACGATCTATTTGAAGCACCGTAGGTGCGAGTCATGCGGTAGTTTCATATAATTCAGACGAATAAGATAGATGTATTTTTTCTTTAAAAATCAAAATTTCACTTTTCAAAAAATATTTTAAATTTTTTTGACCGCTGTGATATTTTTAACCGTTTCGTGAGCTAAAAAGGGTCAATCAATGAAGAGTCTTGAAGTTACAGCCCTAAGTCTTCTATTTTTCAGTCATGGTTTTCGGTTTTCTTGTTTATGACTCTTTTCCAACTAGTTTGGCTAGGTTCTCTATTTGGCTCAAAATTTAGCGTATTTTGTATTGGTTTAATTTGTCTCCTCGTACTTTGTTTGTTGGGCAATAGTTGTTTTTAAGAGTGCTTGGATGGAGGGAGCCTAATAGCTTTGTTTCAAAGTTTTTCGTAGCTCAAAAGTGGAATATGATAGCTTGTTCGAAAAAAAAAATCCGTTTTGACCCTGTTTTGAAATCATTCATTCGTGTTTTTTGGTTTTACTGTATTAGTGAAAGTTTTCCACTGTCTGTTGGCAATTTGAAATTGTATTGTTCCAAAGTATTTTTTTTTAATATCATATGATTGTTTTTTTATTCGGTCGTAAGTTTTGGCTTTTTAGCGACTGAGTCTTTTCATAATACTTTTTATGTTAGGACAAATTCTTTTAATTCTTAAGACCTGTTTGGTCTTAAAAACTTTCAAGTTCACGATGCTGCAACGTTTTTTTTAAATTGATTTGGTTTCAACTCCACGGGTGTCTACTCAAGCATTGTCCGCTTAGTTGCCGCTCTAATTTTGTGTTCAATACTATCGTACCCCAGCAATTGTCTTACTTGGCTTTGTTTCCTCGATATGAATGAAGACTAATCGGGATAACCTTTGAAAGTTTTTGAGGCCAATAAACTGGTCTTATTGTTACGATTCATGGCGCTTCTTACAGTCCTTTGCTTTTCACATAAAATTTCGTTGTCCATGATTAGCATGTTTCTTTTTTTCTAATGTTTGTTTCTTAGAGAAAGGAATATTTTTTCGAAATGAAAATATCCTATCTTTTGAATGTACATTTGCAAAATTTAGATAGAAAAATGTCTTCTTTTTGCGTCGCTTTGATTGGCCGATTAATGGCAGTGAATACGTAAAGAGGTATTTAGTATAAGAAAACTTTCAATCGTTTGTATAGATTTTAGTTTTAAAAAAATGATCCTGACTGTAAAATTCGTTCATTATGGTTTGGACTCGCTTGGTCTCCACAAGTTGGCTTTTTCAATATACAAAAAATATTGCGTAAAATTTGTTTGGCGTTTTCATTTTTTCCCTTTTATCTGCTATTTTTTTGTTAGGAGTAAATTGAAAATGTGTTGTTCTAAAAATTGCGTACATTTAGTTAGTATAGTTTTGATTGGTCTTAGGAAACATCCGAATTTTTTCGCAGTGTTTCAGTTTTTTTCAGTTACATCAATTTGAAATGAAAAGCTACGCTTCATTGATTGATCCGGCTTTCGAAGAAAATGATGAAAAACTTACGCTTCGGTTGCTATTTGGCCAATTGATATTTGGCCAAAATGGATGATTAAAGCGCGTTGCGTTACGTTCTTTCAACATAACGCAAGAATCAAAGCTTTTCAAATGGAATTGAGGCCGGTAACGTGGTCTTAATATTACGATACGAGACCTTTGGTTGCTGCCGTTGTATTTTACATAAAGTTTTGGAGGGCAAAAGGAATACAAGAATTCTAAAGCACGCATGTTCGTTTTTTGCGATTTCTTATCAATGGTTTTGAAATAAAACTTTCTTTTTCTTGATCTTTTCCCTGATACAGTAGCTCTCCTGGTGTTCCGACCATTCAAAAGGAATTTTAAATACAGGAATGTTGTTTTTTCCATGTAAAACAGCTACCACAAATAATCATAGGAGAGCGTGGAGTGTTTTTTCGTTTTGAAGCTCTCACAGTAGTGATCAAAGCCCTTAAAGACCTAACAGTAGTAAATTTCCTTAAAAAAATTGCCCAATGGCAAGAAAAACCGAATTGAAATTTTTTGGTTTTTGTCTTAAATCGAGCGAATAAAGCAAGCGAACAGGCTCACAAAAGCTTATTTTTGTGGCTGAAAAGATTAAAGTAGCTTCACATGAAATCAGAAACGTAATTAAACTCGAGAACGTCAGATTTTTTGAGTGCTAAGCACTTTTTTGAAATCAAGATAAAGCAAAATTGAGGACAGCAATTTGGTCTTATTGTTACGATTCGAGACGCTCATTACAGTCTTTTGTGTTTTACATAAAATTTCGTTGTTCATGATTAACGTGTTTGTTTTTGAAAATACAGAAAGGAAACTGTCTTCGAAATTAAAACATCCTATCGTTTGAATGTACTTTTGCAGAATTTAGACTAAAAACTGCTGCTTTTTTAACGTCGCTATGATGACTATAAATACGTAGAAAGGTATCCAAAGTACCCGCAGGCTATCACAAAAGACTGCGTAAAATTTGTTTTGGTGTTTCCAGTTTTTACCTATTTTCTGCTATTTTTCTTTTGTCAGGAGTAAATTTTAAGTATCTTCTAAAAGCGTACTTTAAGCTTGAGTAAAGTTTCGATTGGTCTTAGAAAAAATCCAAATTTTTTTCAATGCTTGAATTTTTCTGTTAGACCAGTTTGAGGTAAAAGCTTCAGATAAAAATAACAAGGTCGAAAAAACTATGTCTGTTAAAACGAATAAGGCTAGATTGAAACGAAAAAATACCAAGACAAAAGAATGTGAACTAAGCATCGAAAGGGTTTTTGGCGTTCCAGGCGGATTCTTTACCTCCAGACGAAGGCGCTTAAAACTTTGAATTCATTATGAACCGAGATACCGATTGATTCAAATATTTCTGTTCAACACGCCGTTAACCCGAAAAGAAGTCTATTTTCGATTTGATAAAAAAAGTCGAAAACACCTCGTCAGAAACCGTTAAAACAAAAAAAAAATAAGAAAATAAGCAAAACTTCAGACTTCTGAAACAATAATAAGTCCACCTCACCCTGAATTTTTTTTGCTAGTAAAATGAAACAATATCAGAAGCCGATATTTTATAGGCCGAAACCTTAAAGCCCAAAAAGAAAATCAAAAAACTAGCAAAAAATTATTAAGTCTCCTGAGCCTCGAAACTCAGACACCCTCTCACAAAACTTTTTTCTCTCGTCAAAAGACGCAATATGAGGCCAATAAACCTATATAATATCGGCCGAAAGCTATCAAGCAGTAAAAAAACTGAAAAAATTGTTATCATGAGAAACTTGAAATATTACCACCCTACTAACACTTTAGGCATCTTATGCAATCCAGAGTAAAGTATAAAAATATGTTTTTGTTGAAACGACTCGAAATAAGTCAAAAAGCCAATAAAAAATAGGCCCAAATCATTTGGTCTGAGAAAAAAAGATCTCAAATGAAAAAAAAAACAGCAACGAAGAAAATTTATGAAGTCAAGTTTAGTATAATTACAAACAGCAGAGAAAAATCAAAACACTCAAATCAACTTAAATGTAGAAAAAAAATAAAGAAAAAACAATGCTACAATATGACAACTATGCCAAAAAAAAAACACGAGCAGACAATAATAAGCCAACAATTTTTTTTGAAACGGACTATTGCACGTTTGAAAAAAAACAAGCAAAGTCAGATTCAAACCCAGAATCTTCAGCGTCCCAGGCGTATTCGTTACCTCCAGAATAAATGTGCAAAAAACGCTTATAAATTTGGATTCATTATAAAACCAGATACCAATTGATTCAAATGATTCTGTTAAACAAGTTGTTAACCCAAAAAAACTCTATTTTCCGATTTGATAACGCTTGCTAATCGCAAGTGTAAGTAATTGATCCGAGTTTCAAAGAAAGTGATGAAAAAGTTACGGTTAGCTTTGTTTTTTTTTTTCATTCAGATAATTGTGGGCTTTCTAACTAAACGTTTTTGAGCATTTAAAGTTATTGGGGCTTACAAATTGCTATTTGGCCGAGCACGCATCTTTGGCCGAGCACGCAAATTGCTATAGCACGCATAAGAATCAAATCATTCCAAATAGAATTGAGGCCAATAACTTGGTCTGAATATTACGATACGAGTCGTTTAATATATTCCTTTGTTTTTAACATAAAGTTTTGGAGGACAGAAAGAATACAAGAATGATAAAGAAAATATATTCATCTTTTTGCGATTATGTATCGATAGTTTTAAAGC